GGGGGGGGGGGGGGGGGGGGGGGGGCGGTCAAAGGTGTGGGGAAGGCGAAGGGGGATGGGGGGAAGAATGGGGGGGGCGCAGGGGAGAGAGAGGGGAGAAGGGATGGGGTTTTAAAAGGTATGAGGTTGTCCGGGATAGTAGGGGACGCCGGTYAAGGATGGTTTCACCGTTCTGTCCTGTTGGCAGCGCAGCTGTGTTTGTCCTCCAGCTTTTTATTTGTCTTGTCCTGTATGTCGTCGTATGTCTTCCTCGCCCCWATTCCCCGTCTTTTGGCGACGGGCTTTCTCCTGGGATCCCCACCGAAGTGGCCTAGATAAACTCGGACTTCCACCCCTTTTCTTCCTCGTCCCACCCTTTGTGTCCTTTCAGTTCCTTGACGACATCAGGGACTCATCGCTTAGCTGCCCTCCCCAGCTACCCTCATCTTCTTGTTTCCTTACCAATAGTCTGGCTATTCCCGTCTTCCTGCTGTATCCCTCAATCCCAGTCTTACTCGGTCCCTCGTCGCGCCGGCGTGTGTTGGCTTGGCTCCATCCTAAGTCGCTCCGCCGTGTTCCTCCCAGTCTAACTCCCTTCCGCGCCACGCCTCTGTRTCGATYACTCTTCTTCCTACATCACTCCGCTGTATTGCTACTTTGTTAACCGCGTATTTTGCCTGTCTATCGTTTACCGCTGCGACCCGCTCCCATCTCTCGCCCTGTTGATGCCCCCCTACTTCCCCCTTCGTCGAGTGCGTGTCTCCTCTCGGTCGGACGCTTCACTCCATTAAATCCTCGCTGGTCGTCGCTCTGGCCACTGTCTTCGGTCACGTCTGCGCGAGATCGCCCAAGGGGTCATGCCGGCCACCATCCGTGACTGCGCACGGCTATGGCGACGGGCTCCTTGCCTTCCTCGATAGTGTCGACGAAGTCAACCGGAGTGCGGACGTACCATGTCGCCCGGTCCGGTTTCTCGCTCACCGGTCCCTCCTTTCAAACTGTTCTCAATTTTATGATTCTCACCATCCAAAATCTGGCTCCATCTAGCCACCGCAACTTCCTTGGGAGTACGCGTTAATGAGAGCATCTGTGTCCTGTAACCCTGCTGAGCCGTAGAGGATACAAGGGGGAGGTCGTTACCCCCGCCGCCCTCACCCTTCCACCCGTACAATTTTGGGTCCAGTTTAAGTTCTGATAGGGCAATGCCCTGTGCAAATACTTCACAAGACCACTCACCTTCATCATCACAGGATTCCCAGACTCTGACCTGGGTCAATCCTGCATCCAACGGAGGATGCGTTACCTCTTCCAGTTGGACCAACTTACACGGCCTTTGGGGATTAATGCTTTCCCAACCTTGAAATTCCCTTTTCCCTATCGAATCAATGCAGCAAAGTTTCCAATAGGTGGGGGAGGAAGTCATCAAGGAGGAGATATACCAGGTCCCAGGGGGATCTACCCCTCCTGGGCCCAGGATCTCTTTCCACTGGCCTGGAATAGCGTCAATTAATTCCACAAGCCTTTCCTCCACATACCAGATCGGACCTAGCATTTCCCTCAGGGCCCCTGCCGAGTACCACTGTCCTTCCAGGGTGTTCCAGATATCTCCAATCCTGAGTACACCACGTTCTATCCAACTTTTGCCAAAACTGTTCCGTGACGAGTCAGCAGAGAACCAGTTTCCATCTGCCTTTCTGATTGCAGGGTTCTCGAAAAGAGGTTGAAGCATTACCTCTGCCTTTGTGGAAGGGTTCAACCACGAGTTGGGCTTGAGCCGTTTCCATGCGAACATAACAGCCTTCCAAAATTCTGACTTAATGCGCCAGTTTTTTTTTTTTTTGTCCCCCACCGCCCTCACTCGGAAAACAAAAAAGAAAAAGGAAAAAAAAAGTAGTTGCCCATACTACTTGACGATCTAGGTGTCCATTGCTTTATCATCATTGGGCCTTGCTGCACTACTCTGGAAATGTGCAAAACGAGAGTGAATCTTCCGCTAGAATATGGAAAGATGCACCCTCATGATTTTTGTGTGTTGTGCATGTCGAGAGTAGTGCAGCGAGGCTCATTGTAGGGGAGTGGGATCCTTCCTTATGTCCTGACCAAGCAGAAGTGTTGGACTGTGTACCAGATTCAACCAGGAAGGATACTGGTTGTCTTTTCTTTTTTTTTTTTTTTTTTCTTTTTTCTTTTTTTTTCCCTTACCAAGCAGAAGTCACAAGTGGCATTCAGGAGGTCATGGGTTCAATTCCCACTGGCCTCATGCCTTCCTGATCGGCATCAAGCAGAGTCTGCTATGTTCGTAGGGGAGGGGCCTGAGGGGAGGCACGGGGGATTGGTCCGCTTTATCCCTGGTGCTACCGGCCGTCCCCTGGCCGGTATCCTGCAGGCTCGAGGGGCCGTAAAAACACGGCTCTGGTATGCTACGGGTTTCCCCGTATGCCTATAGGTAGGAGTAGTGGTAGGTAGGTAGTGTGAGGAAAAATTGAGAGAAGAGTATAGTTAAAAAA